TCCTTCCTTCCTTCCCTCCCTCCCTTCCTTCCCTCCCTCCCTTACTTACTTACTTTTAAGTGTTGTCACTTAAAAATATCAAAATCTCATCGAGGACCACACACTGCATTTAGTTTTCACTTCTCTTTAGTCTCCTTTGCTCTGTGAGAGCACCTCAACCTCTGTCTTTGATTAGCTTGGCATTTTAAGGAGTGCAGGCAGTTACTTCACAAAAATGCATCTCATTTGTGCTTGTGGATATCATTTCATGAGTAGAATCAGGTTATGCCTTTGTGGTAGAAAGGCTAGAAAAAGAATGTATTCTACTTTGTATGTCAAATCAAGAAGCACACATCAATTTCTATCATGCTGTTGTTGTTGTAGTTGGGTGCCATCAAGAATGACTCACAGTGACCGTAAGAACATCAGATCTGAACCTCGTCCCGTTCTGCACCATCTTTCCCTTCTCTGACACACTTGAGCCTACTGCTGTAGTCACTGTGTCAGTCTGTCTCATTGAGGGTCTTCCTTCCACTCCTTTGACCTCCACCTTTTTTTGTTTTCTTTTTTTTTTAACCTCCACCTTTCTAATTATGATGTCCCTTTCCAAGGAATTACCTCTTAACAATATACTCATTTGATTCTAAAATTCCCATGGCAATGAAAGAAACCTAAAATAGTCAAAACATTTTTTTAAAAACACCAAGTTCAATGGCTTACACTTTCTGATTTTGAGACTTATTAAAGGTTACAATGTTGTTGTTGTTAAGTGCCTTTGACCCTATGTCCAATAGCTCTGAACTCTATCCTGAGCCAGGACAGATATGACATGCAAAGCAATGGAACAGACTAGAGAGGTCATAAAGGGACCCATTCAATACTGTCAACTGACTTTTTTATAAAGATATCAACATCATTTAGTAGGGAAAGGATAGTAACATCTATAAAAATGGTGCTGTTAAAATTGGATATCCACAACAAAAGATTAATCTCAATCCAAACTTTATACAAGAAAATTAACTTGAATAGCATTCTGGCTGCACAATCTATATAGTGTGTTTGCTGCTGATTATCAAGAGAGATGAGTCACAAGACAAGCCTCAGACAGCGGACTTATATACCAAACTATACATCCTTGTAACTCAAAATACAAGAAACCACCTTTTAAACATGAGCAAAAGAATTATTATGAATAGTCTATAAGCCCATGTAAAGATTCTCTAAATCATTTGCCATTAGGGAAATACGATTTAAAGCCACAATCAGATACCTACACAGCACAGAGTGGCAAACATTTAAAAAAGACATAAATGTCAAGTGTTGTGGGAATATAAAATAATACAAATAGAAGAATAGTATGGTAGTTTCTAATAAGGTTAACAAGATACCACATCACACCCAACCACTCCATTAGTCAGTATTTACTCTAGGGAAATGCATGTCCATAGAGAGATATGTACATGAATGTTCACATTACTTCTATTCAAAATAGTCTAAAACTGCAAACAGCTCAAATGCCCATCAATTTTGTCTATCAAGTTTGTCCATCACTGTGACTTAATCATACTATTAAAAAATCGAACAAGCACTGTGGCATTTGGACAAGAACAAACTGGGAGGAGGGTAGAGAGAATAGTGCAACAATCAATGAGTGGAAGCCCAAAATCTCTGTAAATGTTTATGAAAATTAATAAAATATAATTATAGAAAAAAAAATCGAAAGAAATAAACTGTTATATGCAAGAGCATGTATGAAACTGAAAAAAATTATACTATGCAAAGCATAAGAGTTTATCAACTATATCCTACTAATGTAGTTTCTGTTTATAAGAAAGCAAGCTCTAGTGGTTTAGTGATAAAGAGCTGAGCTGCCAATCCAAAGGCACATGGTTCACATCCAGAAGCACCTCCAAAGGAGAAAGATAGGCAACGTCTTCCCCTTGCAATTTAATGCCTCTGAAAACCTATTGGAGGGTCAGTTGGAGCCAGTCCTGACTTGATAGTACACAACATTAACAATGTTTATAAGAATCTCTAGAATAAAAAAAAATCTATTTTAACAAAGTAGTTCAGTGGAGCTGAAGTGGAGCCAGGAAGGAGATGACAGTTCCCGAGGGTCATGAGAAAACTTCATGACATAATGGGATTTTTTTTTCCCTCTGTGCATTTGTTTTTAATAGAAATGTGTTATATATTATATTATTAATGGGTGTTCATATTTTTTTCCAAAGCTCATTAAATGACACTTAAAATAAACATATTAAGTATAAATTATTTTGTGACAAAATTAATTTTCTATACAGTTTATCTCTAGGGATCTGAGATGTCACCTTTACTGTAAGAAATCCTTTTTAAAGAAGAAAAAGAATGCTTAATTTGATACTAGATTAAAATAGTCATAAACCAAAAGGCAATACGCAAATATAAAAATGTAATAAAGATTATATGAAAACAAAAAACACTCTGGCTTTTGTCTTCATTTCATTGACTCTGGGAAAAAATATGAAGAGCTGATAGTCTTATTTATATCTACTGTGATGAAATACATGACACACTTCGACACGGTTGTCCCGGCCAAGTCCTCAAAGACCAGATGGAAGTGTTAGTCCTGAAGTCTTCGTCCCCACTGCGCTTCCTTCTTCCAGGAGATATTTCTCTTACATTATGTTATCATGGAGTATGTACAGAATTAAAATAGCAAGTCAACACAAATAATCATTTCCTGTTCTTAAAATAGTACATCTGTTATGCTTTTCCTTTTAAAAATCTAAAGATCTGTTTTACTTACGTGGTCTGGCTCATTTCTCAGGTGGGTCAGTGAAGAGGAGGGTAAGACTTGTTCCCACCATTTCATCTAAGTGTATGGTGAGAACAGTTTGCCTAAAGCATACTGGTATCAACAATATTCTTTGATCTAGTTAAAAATAACTGACCTGCTAAAATATGACCAGTCATATTACTTACTACCTTACCTTTGGTCTTTGACACTGACTCATGTAAATGGTGCTTATTATCGTTAGAAATATATATGTGCACAATTCGAAATGTCATGAGAAAAAGAATTAATGCATCATACAAAGTTAGAGAGAAACCAAAAGCTTCTTAAAACAATCATGCCATGTACCAAATACATAAAGAAAAAAGTAAATATTCACCATTTCTAAAAAATGCCATTCAAAAATCAAGGAAAATATCAGCCTGATTCAATAAGTCTGTGTTGGATTTCAAGTAGGAGGATCTTTTCTATTTTAAACCATGACATTTTCTTTCCATCCACTAGCAACTAGCCTGATAACCTAGGCTAATTACAATTTAAATTGAGTTAACTTCCATTAAGTATTTCAATTTTCTTTAAACATAGACTAACAGACATCGGTAAAAAGATAATCTTAGAGTAATCCCATCATGTTCTGAAGATTCCAAGTTGAGCATGAGTACTCTAGCTTTCTGTAATTAGGAAGTGGGCAGCACTAACAGTGAGGGTAAAGAATTCAACCACTCACATTACTTCATGGAGCACCCTTAAAAAAAAAAAGAAACCACCTTGCTTGATTTTTACCCATCACAAGAGGGGGTACTTTCTGGAAAATCATAAGCATTACTTGCTAACCTTTACTGAGTTCCAAGGGCTGTCCCTAAGCTAGGACCATTCTCTTCCATTAGTGGTGATGACATTTTACACTAGGGTATTGTACCCAAGTTTCATTTTTCTGAACTCTTACATTTTGGTGGCATTCTTTCAGCAAGTTAATCAAGATGTTGCATTCTTCAGTGTGCAAGTGTGGAGACAAGTCTGGATGCATCCTTAGGAGAATGTGACGGAGAACAGCAGAACAACCTGTGGACACAAGAGCGTCTTGAATATGCATGCAGATTTTTGATAGGGCAACATAAAACTATTTTTTAAGAGAGACTCTCAGTGACTTTTATCAGAAAGGAATGCTGACCATTAACAAGTTATGTGACCTCAGGCAAGTAAGTTATTAAACTTGAACTTCAGTTTCCTTATCCAGTAAGTTAACATATTCAGTACGTGACCAGAAGTCTAAAGAGCCTACAGGTTTTAAAACCGAACAGAAATCCCCTGGAGACCCATAACTAGAAATAAGTACTCAAGCAATAAGCAGCTGCCTGTATTATTAAGTCTGACTTCAAATATCTTTCCCACATTCCTTAAAGTGATTAAAATGCACTCTGTTCAGATGAAATTCTACCAATCTTGATTACTAAACTTTTCAATAAAGGACATTAATCTGATAGTTTCAAGCCACTAGTTAGCCTCACATTAGTACGGTTTCATTTCGACTGCTTTCTTCTTAACATTTGGCTGAGAAAACCTAAAGAAGTAAATGTAAGCATATCCTACAAAGACAACGGTCCACATCTCACTTTGGTGAATAATAGCAACTTGCGTCTCAAAAGCACGTTAGTTCTCGCCATCTCCTGAGCAAAGTTGTATACAAACTATCGGTCCAAAGGACTAACAGGCCATGGACCACACAAACCTCAACTTCTCTGACCCTAGACCTAAAGATCCAGATGGAGCTTGACTTCCACTGCTGACAAATCTAAACAGATCACAGTAAAAGGTCCTGGATAGAGGAGGGTCATGAGGGGAGCGTAGTGTGGAAATGTGAGCAAACTGTAAAACATTAAACGGGCCAGGCTGGCCTGTCTGAAGACACTGGTAGAACCTTGGAAACTATGACCTTTAGTCATCCTTCAAAACATCCCCATAGTTCAACTTTCAAACAAATAACACTAAGAGAGACATTCAATCCTTAGAATAACCAACCACTTAACACCCAAAGGGCACCATCTGTCCAAGAGTAAAGCCTAGAAAGCAGAAGGTGTAGAATAGAAAGATTGATGGAAATGACAATAACAGGGAGCAAGGGGGGAAAGTATAGCTACACTGTGGGTACTGCAATTAGTCATAAAACAAAACATGGATGATGAGTGCAAACAAAAACCAGTTTGCTTATAAACTTTCACTCAACTCATAATTTAAATTTTTTAAAGTCAATGTGAAAATGTTTTTTTCTTAAAGTTCCAACTGAGCAGATACATCTATAAAGTAGAATTAAAGTAGAACTGAAAACTATTTAAATTAAGTTTAACTGGTTCATCCATGGAGAGAAAAATTAACAGACATGGCCACAGTAAAACATTATTCTGAGGTGCCTGCAATACTTACTTAGCACTATTATCTACTGTATTTTTCTTCATGTATGAGTCAAGATCAACTCTTCTGCTCACAATATTTCATTTAATGCACAAAGATTATAAAAAGAAAAAACTACTTAATTGTTTTAATCTTTCAAAAGTTTCAAGAAATATTAGGAGAAAACCATGACCTTAGATTGGGGGAAAAGTTCTTAGATATATCAAAAGCATGACCTCTAAAAGATGACCTTGATAACCAAGCATTGAAATAAAAAATTCTTATGCTTTAAAAAAATCATTAATAAAATTAAAAATGAACCTCAGATTAGAAGAAAACATTTGCAAGGTTACAGGTGATTAAGGACTAATACTGAAATATATAAAGAATACTTAAAAGGATAAGACAATGTCATTTTTTTAACGGGCTGAAAACTAGTCCATTTTGGCAAGCAGCTATTTCACCAAAGACAATAAAGGAATGGTGACAGTTAAACATATGAAAAGATACTCAAAACCACCAGTCATCAAAGAAAAGCACCTTAAAACTACAATGAGATACCAGTGTAACAAGCACCAGAATAATGACTCTAGTCAAAAAGTCAACACTACAATGTACTGGGTAGGACATGGAGAAATGGACCCTACACGTTGCTGCTGGCATAGAAAATGGCATACATTCTGAAAAACAATTTGGAAATTTTTGGAAAATTTAAACAAAAACATCCCACTCCAAGATATCTAAAATAATATCCACATAAAGGCATGTAGGTGAATGTACATAGCAGCGTTATCCATAGAAAAAAAACCCAGAAGTTCGAATTTCTAACATGAGTAAACAGGTAAATAAATATGTAGGCAGTGGAATAATACTTAGCAATTAAAAGGAATTAGCTATTAATATATGTTCCTTTACATATATTATGACCCTTCAAATTATTATGTTAAATGAAAGAAGATGGAGAAGAAAGTCTACATCTTGACTTTTTATTGTTGTTGCTGTTATGTGCTGTCAAGTCACCTGTGACTCATAGTGATCCTATGTACACCAACTCGTAGTGACCCTATGTATAACAGCTCGAAACCTTGCTCTATGTTGAGCCAATTGCATTGTCTCTGACATACTTAACCCCAGTCACTGAGTCAATCCATCTCATCCAGAGTTTTCCTCTCTTGTGCTCTCCCTCCACCCTCTACTAAAGGACAAATGTAAAGAAGCAAGAAAGATCGCTGGTTACTTAGGGCTGAAGGTGAGAGCTGCTGGGATTAGTTTCTAAATGACAGAAAGAAAAAGTTTTTATGTTGATGGACTTCACAACTTTATAAATTTATTGAAATCACTGAATTCTCTTAAAAAAGTCTAATCAAATAGTACTCGAGGAACTCGAGGACGATATGAATAAGATTGTAGCATCAGGACTGGAGCAAAACATCAATAACCTGTGACAATAAACAGATGACACGACCTTACTTGCTGAAATGAAGAGGACTTGAAATGCTTGCTGCTGCTGAGGAAGATCAAAGACTACAACCTTCAATATGGATTAGATTTCAACATCACAAAAATAAAAATTCTCATCACTGAACCAACAGTCAACATTATGACAGATGGAGAAAAGACTGAAGTTGTAAACAATGTAGTTTTACTTGGATCCATAATCAACACCCAGGGTAACAGCAATCAAGAAATTAAAAGATGTGTTGCATTGGAAAATCTGCTGTCAGGGACCTCTACAAAATGCTAAAGAGCAACAATGTCAAGTTTAAAGACTAAGGTGTGTACGATCTAAGCCACAGTCTTTTAAAATAGTTCCAATGCAACTCAAAGTTGGACAATGAATAAAGAAAGCAAAAGAAAATGTATGCCTCTGAGTTGTGGTGTTAACAGAACAGTACTGAATATTCCATGGACTGCAAAAAGAACATACAGGTCTGTCTTGGAAGAAGTGTAACCCCTGAGCGTTAAGAAGCACGGTTAGTGAAGCTTCATCTCACATATTTTGGGCATGTTGCCAAGAGGGGCCAGTAGAAAAGGAAATCATGTTGGGAAAGAGATAGAGTCACAGAAAGAGAAGATTTCCAACAAGATGACCTCACTCTAAGAATGGGCTCAAACATATTAGAGATGGTGTGCCTAATGCAGGGCAGGGCCAAGTTCAGATCTGTTGTTCATATGGTCACTATGGGCCACAGGTGATTTGATGGCAGGTTAACTACAACAGTGGATAACTACTGCTTCAAATTTAACTTATAAATATATTAGTAAATCAATGTTCCATTCAGTTACTACCCCAACTGTACATACATCCTAGATCGAGATCATAGAACAGATAACCATACCCAGCTATAGATTAGTATCTTTGAGATGAACCTGAAATATTCAAGCTCATATTTGATTTCCTTGCCACCAATTATAAAACTTTTTAATGATCCCAATTTGTTTGTTCTGCTTTCCACCTTTCAGGCAGTTCAGAAATTTAAGTCAATTAATATTGTACCAACATTATGCAGAAGAGTTACTTGGTTTCTGCTTCATTAGTTTTTTCCAAAGGAAAATGTACACTGATTTAGTCTCCTAGAAAATCTTTAACATTTACTTCATTTTGCAAGTGAACTTAAGAAAACATTGTACATTTCTACAAACTAGCCCTCAAATTGAGTTCAGAAATAAGCTTACAATATACTGATAAGACTTCTGTAATTGGCAAATACTCGGAAAGTCACTTTCGCTGTGGAAATAAATATACACATGTCTATGGTAAAAAAAAGCATAATTATATACAATGATAAAAAGCTACTTCCCTCAACTAAAGTTCAAATATTTTAAATACAAATGCTACTGTAAATTCACATTGCACTGGGAAAATATGCAGTTATGGACCTTTCCAAATTATTGAGGAGTAGTGATGTCAGTTTGAAGACTAAGGTACATCTGATTCAGGCCATGATCTTTCCGATTACTTGCTATGCTATGCATTTGAGAGCTGGACAATGACAGAAAAAGAATTGACGTCTCTGAGCTGTGGCGTTGAAGAGCACTGAACATCCTATGGACAGCCAAGAGAAGAAATAGATACGTCTTAGAGAGGGTACAGCCGGAGTGCTCTTTGGAGGCAAGAATGATGAGGCTTTACCTCCCGTACTTTGGACATGTTGCTAAAAGGTGCTATTCCCTGGAGAAGGAACATGATGCTGAGAAAGATGGATGGTCAGCGAAGGAGAGGAAAACCCTCAACCAGGTGGATTTACACAGTGACTGCTGCAATAGACTCTTGTGTGTCAGGAAGTGTGAGGATGGCGCAGGATAAAACAGGGTTCAGATCTTTTGTTTAGGATAAAACAAGGTTTAGATCTTTTGTTTATAGGGTCGCTATGAATCGTACTGGACTCAAAAGCATCTAACAACGACACAAAACTATAAACTCCTCCAATCCTAGGCCAAAGAATGCTTGCTGTACTATGTTGAGTCACTGCTGACCCTCCAACGGGTTTCAGAGGCTGTAACCCGCACAGGAGAATGTCCATCTTTCTACTGCAGAGCAGCTGGTGGATTTAAATTGGCCACTTTTCTGTTTCCTTTTCCTGTTCTTTTTGGTAAGAAGACAGGTCTGAATCCAAAGCTCTAAACAATCACCTGATA